ATTTTATATCCTGCCACTTTACTGAATTCCTGTATGAGTTCTAGCAGTTTTGGGGTAGAGTCTTTTGGGTTTTCCACATAAAGCATCATATCATCTGCAAAGGGTGAGAGTTTGACTTCCTCTTTGCCGCGGATGCCTTTTATTTCTTTTTGTTGTCTGATTGCTGAGGCTAGGGCTTCTAGTACTATGTTGAACAGCAGTGGTGAGAGTGGACATCCCTGTGACGTTCCTGATCTTAGGGGAGAAGCTCTCAGCTTTTCCCCATTGAGAGTGATATTCGCTGTGGGTTTTCATAGGTGGCTTTTATGATACTGAGGTATGTACCCTCTATCCCTACAATGTGAGGAGTTTTAATTTTCATTTCTAATAAAATCAGCAATATGTTTTGTTTAAAAGAAAATTATTCAGTTATTTCTAAGATCAACTATATTTAAATACAATGATAGGATTTCCTCCCCCCCCAACCAATATCATAAGTCATATTTAAGGATATAGAGAAAGAATCAAACCATTTTCAGGTAGACTACTAATGGAAACCACATTTGTTCCGTTTAGAGGAGTCTAAACAAGGCTGCATGTAGGAAGTAGGACCGGGAGGGATGAAGTCGGAGGGGTGAGAGAAACCACAAACGCCGAGTGGTTTGGAGACTCATGGGCTCAGCGAGGTGAAGTTTCTGGGACAACGTCACACAGGAAGTGGTGGCCCCAGGATTCAAATGTTCTCCTCATTGGTGAAAAGGGGAGAGCGACATTTAATTCAAAAGTCGTGAGATTTAAAAGGACAAAATGACATTTCAGTTCAGTGTTTTGCATGAAGTCTTGGTAAGCACTCAGGAAACGGTACTTTATAAAAGTGGATCTTCTCATCTGGGGTGCCCGACATCCAATGAGCCATGGTCATGACTCCAAAGGAAAGGGACAAGCTCCTCGAGAACATAAATAGAGTCAGGAAAGCTGGGGTAGGCACACAGCCTCTTTAATCTGAATGAGTGATGGAGATCCTCTATTTGCATATATCTATTTGGAAAATTAAAAGCAGCTTTTATTCTCCCACACTCAAGATGCAGCAGGGCAGGGCCTTGTAAACAGATCAGCTTAGAGGAGTGATGATCTTCCTGAGTGGTGTGGCGCATTTCGTTAATAGCAGACGGCCCTTCAGCTAGGGGCATACACATGGAAGCTGGTTCATTGCGTTGTTAGTTTTGGGCTTTACACAGTATTCACACGGGGTCCCTGGAGTGCTTCTGTTGGTGACTACAAGGAAGGGCATTTGCTAGTTGAATAACATGGTAAAGAGGTGGGAGTGCCGTGGTGGTTTTTTTCTACCCAAACTCAATGTAGACTCACCTGGAATTTCCACTCTAATTAAAAATTGTGAACTTGGTCCAGTGGGAAAATGAAAGACAAAGTGCTTTTGCCTTAAATAAGGAGACTGGCTGCTTGGGGGTATTTTATATAAATAGTTACAGATTGTGACAACGTGAAGTTAAGATATGTAAAAGGAATGCCTGGGTGGCTCAGTCGGTTGAGCATCTGCCTTCAGCTCAGGTCATGATCCCAGGGTCCTGGGATCAAGCCCCGTGTTGGGGGTGGGGGGATGGGGGGCGGTGGTCCCTGCTCAGCAGGGAGCCTGTTTCTCCCTGCCCCTCTGCCCCTCCACCCCACCCCCCTGCTCGTGCTCTCTCTCATGTAAATAAAGTCTTTAAAAAATATGTTAAAAAAACTAAATGGCAACATCCAATATGGATGAGGTGGTAAAAAAACAGAAACGTGTGTATTCTGCTGGTTGTAACCCTTGCAGACAGTGTAAGGCAATATATAGTAAGAGCCAAATAAGAGCTCTTGGACCCAATAGTTCCATATCTGCAAATGTATGCTGAGGAGGTAAATTATAGGAGGAAAAAGCTGTATGCATAGAGATGCTAATTGAGCCATTAGTTCTAACAGCAAAAACTAGAAATAACCTAAGTGCTCTGTCATACGAATTTCCAAACGATGACCCACCAGCAAGCCAATATATTTGGTATCCCGTTAAAATTACTGAAAACTGAGGAATAAGATAATTTGCGGGAGGAAAAAGGGAAAAGGGGGGCAGGAAACCAAATAGTAGGAAGATTTAAAAGGTAATGAACAAAGATGAAACTCTCTCTGTTGGAATGGTGGGTGGTCTTGGAGCCTTTCTTTGTCTTTTTAAGAATTACTTTTAGTGTTAGTACCTTAATTTATTACAAGGCATAATTCAGAGTAGCGTTTTAAGTGATCATGTGGAAAATATTTTGTGAGGTTCCTTAGTATTCTAAAATGAACTCAACCAAACTAGCTTGGATGCATTGAAAGGCACGATGAGTTAACACGTCAGGGAAGTATCACTATTTTAGAAGCCTTTTCAATGTAAACTTCTAAAAATGGTACCTGCTGGTGACCAGAATGGGTAGCCAGTGTGCAAGGCAGGCTCTCTGGCCTAGTGCTGACCTTAATGAAAGTAATCAGGCCTCTTTCACTGAAGTTCAAAACAAAACCACCCATAACCCCATTTTAAACAGCAAAACCACAAGCCACAGCTTCAGTCTTCGCTGAGGATGCTCCCATTTCTTGTTTCCTGTTGATAGAAGGGTCTCCCTCAATCAGCCATGGAAGTGAAAATTGGCTGCCTTTGGGAGGGAGAGCCACTCAAAAGAAAATGACTATAGAGCAACCGGCTCTCTCTTCCTGTTCTGGCTGGATCTTAAGGCGCTGCACCACGGTGGAGAACTCTGGACACTGAGTTCATTAGACGTTAAACCTAGGTAACCAAGGCCAGATGCAGACCTATTCATAACCAGGACAAAAGGAAAGGTCTGTGGGGCTGGTGCTGGATAAATGGCATGTACAGAAATAATTTGCAAAATTTATACTCGGTGCTGGAGGACAGCCAAGGTCCCATGCTTGGGTACAAAACCAAATAATCTTCTTTGTGAATAATTCACTCGTTGTATAAATTCAATGTGCATATACTGCTGGTCTATGGGTCGGTTACCCGTTAAACAGTGCGATGTAGCAGAAGGCGCATGGATTTGAAGGTGATGGACCTGGATTCAAATACTGACTCTGCTACTCACCAGCTATGGGCTGTCAATAGGTTACTTTGTTTCTATAAACCTTCAGTTTCATCATGTGAGCATAAAATAAGAAAACGGGTATGATGTGCCTGGAACAGCAACGGGCATGTAGTAGATGCTCAATAAATAGTGTCTGCAATTAGTAGCAGTGATAGTGGTAGAATAGGATCATTATGATATAATTAAAATATCGATTACCTGTGCATATATATTACATAGATACTATATTGCACACACACCCCTGACTTACAGTGAGCAATAGCAGCCCTGGATGTAGAATAAGCTAAAAAAGGAGCGAGGCTCATGGCATCCACTTGCTCACCTTATGCAATGTGAAGATGCCTACAGACCCGAGATACAGCAGGAGAAATGGGTAGTTACCCTAAACTTTGGATTTCCACAGTGTAACACCGAGTATATGCTTGCTGAGTGAATGTTTATATGAAGACTGTGTCTTTTGGACTTAAGAGAGCTTCTGGATTTGGGGGAATACTCACCTCTCCTGGTTAGGTTCCCCCAAGCTGCTTCTTACCCTCCTGATGCAGGATCCATATGGGAATCAGCACAGTGACCTTGACAGTGCAGGGAGGTGGGCAGCCAGCAGATTCTCCCTTGGTTCTCTTTGATGTTTTGGATATCAAAATCCTTGGCTGATGATACTCCAATGTCTTCTTTGTACTGGTTAATTTCTACCTTCACCAAATGCCTACAGCTTAGCTAGAGTTAGTCACCTCTCTGCTCAGCCCGAAGAACTTAAGATGATGCATCCCATTGGAAAGGCTGTGTTTAACCTATCAAAGAAGTGGTGGCTTTGGTGCGGGGAATCTGCACGATTTTGACATCACCCCTGGTATTTCCCAGCATTTCAGCAAAAGCATTCTATCAGGCCAAAGTGGGCCTCCTTACATCCCTGCTGGAATGGGAAAAGGGGTTAGTTGGAGAGAGACCCCGATTGCCCCCATTCTGATGCATAGAGAGATTCTCTAGTCACCAAGAACTTGATAATTACAGGGGGGAGCAAACAATTGAGGACCGAAAGAACCCACTAGAAGTAATAACAAAACCTCTCAAGGTGAAATTAAACAATAGTCATTTTTCTTTTTCTCTCTTTCTCCAACAGAAAATATGATGCTGGCATGCTAATCGCGGGAGACAACTTGGCCCACAGACAGCCACAAAGCACAAAAACAAAACAAACTCTGAGAAGAAACAAGAGCAGTGTTTTCCTGGCATCTACAAGAAGCGCTTTATTTTTTCTCTAGATTTCTTTTCTAAAAAAACAAAACAAAACAAAAAACAAAACTGAAACAAACATTTAAAGAGACAGTGCAAACTTCAGGTGATAATATTCAAGCATGTTCTTTTATTAAGCATAGGATGGGAGGAGAGGAAGGTGAAGCAGAAATGCTCAAGCAGGGTAACAGGAAGGCTGTGAACCTCCACCATCAGGTTGCTTCTGGAAACTAAATGAGGAATGAAGGGCACAACTTTTTTATCCTCTGCCCCCAAAGTATCCTGCATATTCTCATGGACGCAATGCTTCCTTTCTTGCCTGCCAAGGTGTCTGGAGAATGATTTGCAAAATTTGTTTATAATAATCTCTCAAGAATTTTTTGGGCAGCTTTAGCAAGGGGGTCCGTGGGCCAGCCCTTTTGCGACCCATCAGCTCTGTCTATCCCACCCATTTCTAAGTGTCACCTCCCCCTTGGCTGGCTAGACCAGGGGTCCCAGAGCTCTCTCCCCCAGTTACCGCTGCACCCACTCAGGCTTGGTGAGGACGAACGAAAGGATACACACTCGTCTCTTCTTCCCTAAACAGAAGAAGGCCAGCTCCTTGCTACAGTGTGGCTGCGGTGGTGGCTGGGGGCACGGGGGGGGGGGGGGGGCGCCTGGCTATTTTTTTTTTTCTTTTTTTTTTTGGCGCCTGGCTATTCTAAACAGTGCATGAGAACGGCTTGGGCTCCCACAGCGAGGCAAGGAGCCTGCCTACCAGCTAAGCGTTCACCTTCCAGCGGGCCACCGCCAGGAAAGCAGAGAGACGCCAGCCTCGTCCAGCCCCAGAAGAGAGATTGTTCCCTTGGCCCTGCAATTCCCTGCTTCCCGTCGGTACTTGACATTTTCTTCACTCTGTTGTGGCTACTCTTATCCTCTTTACTCGGGCGGATGTGTGTCGGGGGCGCACGGAAAGCTGCCGGACGACAAGTTGGCGGGGGTCGAGCGGCGGCAGTCACGCAGGTGCACACGCGCGGGCTGGGTGTGCGCGCCGATGCTCCCCCGAGCTCGCGCTTAGCCGGACTGGCTGCCCGGTCCTTCCTGGACTAAGCGCTCGCTGAGTGCCCACAGGGCGCGGGCCGTCTCTTCGCTCTGAGCTTCCGGGGACGGCAAGCATCGGCAGCAGTTGTTGAAGTACATCCCTCCCAGGCCCTCGAGCTCTGGAGCAGCAGCACAGTAGACGGTGGTGGCAGCTCCTTGTTGCTGGAAATCAAAGAAAAAAAAGACCAAAAAAAAATTTTTTTTTTTTTTTTTTTTTTTTTTTTTTAAGAAAAGAGGTGATGAGCTGACTTCGTTCTGTCTAGGAATTAGCAAGCCTTGCCCCGCCAGGTTTGGATGCCGAGGGTACTGAACTCAGCACGTGACTGTACAAGGTATGATGTGACATCCTAGGAAAGCAGTTTCACCAACTCTGCTGGCGTCACTTTTTACACCTCATAGAGGAAAAGGCTCCTATGCATATCGATCCATCACATCAAAGGTCTCTTCTGAGTAAAGAGGAAAAGATGGCAGGCATCCTTTTGAACACCCAAGAACAAATTCATCCAACCCACTGACTTAGCGCATGAGGCAATCTGACACCAAGATGTTTCTAGAACCGTCTGTCTGAAGTAAACCAACCACTCTAATAATGGCCCATCGGATAGAAAATCCAGAGAGGGACTGGTGCCTGATCTTTCCTTTATTTTTGACGACGGTGCTGCTAGGGGAAGAGTTTTCAGTGCTGTGTGAAAATGCTTGAAACACCCATATACACGGACTCCCTGCCATACATACTTACATGCCTCATGCAGACACGCGACACATGTATTAATTCATCCAGATCCCGTGGAAACCTTTTTGTAAATGTCATATTCACCCCATATTTGCAATGGGACAGTGACTAAGGGGGTACACTTCCAGCCCACCTCAAATTGTAAGTTGCAATGAGTATGATTGATTACTTTCGATTCACCTTTTGAGTAAGAGTTGGTGCTGTGGCTAGGGATGTGTATGCCAGTGGGGTACCATATCATCCCGGCTGACACAATGCTGTCAGGGAGGCTGTAAAGAGGGCAAGAAATCACTTTGCTTTGCAAGCCATAATTAAAAATAATAGGCTGGTGTTCATGGGAGACACGGTAGGCACGGCTCTAATTTAAAACCAATACAGTTTATCTGGCATCTTATGATTATTTATGTGCATCACAGCCCTTGCTGCACCAACTAATTATCAGCTGATAGGGAGGGGGGTGGCGGAAGAGGGTGGAAGAGGTAATGGGCATAAGGTCACCATTAGGGAAGACACTAAGGGCATTTGACAGAGAGGGAAATGCATTTTTGTCCCCACCCAAAGCTTACCATCTTTCCTGCCCCTACAAGGTTGACGTTGTGCTCAAGGGGAGTGCTTCATGGAGAAACATCCTCCCCCCCACCCCGAGATGGTTTGATTTGTGCTTACTGTGATTGTGCTCTAGAACCATTGGGTGCCAAGGTCATTTTGAGAATTAGGATCTCCAGGTGTTATAATTTTAGGAAAGTGCTATAAAGCAGGCTTGAGTTTTTTGCTTGTTTGGTAGGGGAGGACTTCAGTGTCAGTTTCTATGGTCATATTTGAATTAATCTGCAAAGTAAATGGTCAACCACAGTCAAGCGACAGGATTCTGGGGAGCAGTGTAGCATGGAGTGGGGGTAGGATATCATCAGACTTGAGTTCTGATGATTACTGGATCCTTGACAGGGTTGGACAAGTCCCATTAGTTCAGAATTTGAACACCTGACGTGACTTCGATTTAATTAAATAGTAATGGGTGTTTAACTTCCCGAAGCCCCTCACCATGCCCGCTCCCCAAATAGCCAGTTACTCTCTTGGATTCAGCTATTTCTTTTTGAACTGATTTGTGTGGCTCAAGTGTAATGGAAATAGGTTCATGTCATCCAAACTCCCTCTCACTGAATTATCATTCCTAATAACCCTTAGCTTAGCACCTGGCACATTTATCGAAAGAATTTTGAGTGGTTTATCTGACTCCTCTGCATCCCGTGTGGGGGGGAAAAGGGAAGCAAAGTACCTCTAACGACAAATTGAAGAATTGAGATGCTCATCCTGGTAACTCAAGCCAAATATCATCTTGGCCTCAATTCTTAGCAGAGTTCAGGTGGAGATGGAGTTTTGCATAATTTTCTGGATATCTTAGATTTCCATTTTACTTTGCAGCTGCCAAAACCACCAAAGAGTGGTCAGGTGATTTGCCATCAGCTCCCAAGTGGTGAGAGAATCCAGTCAGCTCATCCCCAAAACTGAGGCTCCCCACCCCCGCTCGAGAGTGCTTATAACATCAGCGTTTGCACATCACGACAGTGATCAGGACCTCTCCAGTGCTGAGAGAAGATCAAAGTAGGCCACTGGGGAAAGCAGTAAGAGGAATTCTTCTAAACCCAATGTAGTATCTTGCCACCGTGAGCTAAAATGATACCATGTTGCACTCTTGCACTGTTGGAATGGTCTTTTTGCAAAGAAATTCTGCCCTTGTGTTGATGAGAATCAGGTTGACGGGGGAGCTGGGGGACATGCCTTTTCCTTCCATGGAATCTGAATGCAACTGCTGTTGACCTCATTTCACACCAACTGACGTGTGGCTACCATGCTGGAAAGCATAAATTTTAGAAAAGCCCCGTCTTTTACCAAGGGCTGGCTTTGTAGAAGAAAGTGGTGCAGTAGGGGCCCCTGAAAGCAAAGACCACCTTCCCTGCGAAGATGAACTGCAGACGTTTGGCAAAGCCAGCCTCTGGGTTCTTGCTCCACTCAGCTGGTGCCGGCACCTTTCAGTCCCAAGCCCGCTCCCCTCCTGGCTTCTCGGGGAATTCTCTTTACAGCTGTACCCACGACAGCCTCTGAGTGACATCTTTATAGGATCAGATGTGATGACAGTTTAATAACAAGTTCTCATTTCTGGCTCATCAGCTTTTTGATCTGCCTATCATGAGAATGAGAGGGGGCCACATTAGGGAAATCTCATTGGTAAATAAGCCGGCACTGCTGATACAAGATAAAACAAACATTTTTAAACTGATACAAAAAATTTAAAAGAGCCCTTTAGTCACCATCAAATGACTTTTATGCCACTTTTTGGGGCATCAGTACATAATTCAGAAAAGATGAAAGAGCCGTGTAAAGGAAATAATGTTAACAACTCTGCTATAAAGTATCTGAAGCAACGTCTTGTCACCACCGCTGTACTGATCCATCGTGATAAAAAAAATAGCAACACCTCAACACATAGACACTGGCTGCAGCTGCGGGTTCCCATAAATGAATTTTTAAGAACAATTTATCAGAAGCCTGTAGGTTGTGTGCAATTGCAAACCCCGGGAACTGGGGTGTCGCGGCTCCATCCTGGGGACACGGCGTGAGTTAGTTAGGGTGTGGATGACACAGGGACTGAGAATTTCTGGGAAGCCCAGCAGAATCTTTAATCATGCCCGAATGCCATTTCTGATCTAGTCAAACATTTGCGAGCTGCCAGAGGAGAAGTGTGCCATCAATCTTTATAGTGTATGTAAAATTACCTATGATTCTTTTTTGGGATTAAGTTAAGAGTATCTTGGTAATAAGGGTTCATTGTTCTCTTTCAGAAATCATTTGTCAGATTTGCAGTACAATCTGCAACTACAGAAAGGTGGGATTTAAAAAGCAGTTGTTTATTTATGGTTGAGGCCCTGAGATCTAAATTATCCATCCTTCCAAAACCCTTTGTTGGGATGAAAATGTTAAGTAGCTGCTTTTCATTAACATTTGATAACCGCTGGCCATCAATTTGGAGCTGTCAGCATGGAATACAAATGGATATTGACTCTTTTAAAGGAAAAGATACAGAGATTCCTGATAAACAATATATGGTAGAGAAAAAAATCACCCACATATTGATATTTGTGATGCATTGGTTAGTACTCTAATATAACTTACATTTTAATAAGGACACATATTACACAATGTTCAGTTTTCAAGTTCCTCTTTTAAAATGCATGCTTACTTAAAGGGAAGACTATATTCCTGTCTTAAAGTAGATTTCACTATGAGACATATAAAAAAATATAGACACACTGTCACGGTATATTCAATGATCTCGAGAGTAGTAGATGTTCTAAGATTGCTTTACTACAGACATATTGATACCAGGACATCGTATGGCAAATGTTGAATGAGTCAGTTCAACAAAAAGTAGCTGTGTCAAGAAACACGGCACGGAAGTTAGCCTGAGCTTGGAACCCCAAGGGCAGGGAACAAGAGAACTTTTGGAAGTGGGTGGTGATTATCGTGCTGAACTCCTAGGACAGTGATGGAAGGAGAGCAACACAGGTGCCTCTCCAAACCCTCCAAGCTTTCCCTGTTACCCCTCTGGGGTCTGTAAGGTGAACAAACACTTGCCCAGTGCAGAACCAACCACCTGTCTGGTGGTCCCAGAACACGGCAGTGACTTAGCCTTGGTGGAGAGGAGGGAATGAGCGCACGTCTCAGGTGGCGTCAGTAGCGGCCTCCACATCCTCTGTCTTTCCCTGCCTCTCAGTAACACTCCCGACAGAAGAGTCTGGAACCACTCTACCGGAAAAGCGCAACGCCATGCATGATTCAGAGCTCATCTCCGGATACCTTGGTACACATCTGTTCCTAAAAACAATTACGGGTTTAAATCTCTGATGTGAGAGGCAGACAAAAGCAAACTGCCCCCCAGATGTTATCAGTTCCCTACCTACCATCAGAGAACAATCGTCTAAGCCCCCACATTTGTCATGTGTTTCATTAGTTCATGGAGTCAGGCAGCGTGCAGGGGAATAAGGCTCAGGGGCCTTCCCCAGGAGTGCGACCAGAGCCCCAAGTCACCCCCTTCCTTCACTGTTGATGCTCCTGAAATCCAGCTGACAGTCGTAAAGTGAGTGCTAATCAATCAATGAACGCACCCACTTCCACCAAAATTATGGGAGGCACTAGAAGAGCGCACCCGAAAGGACACTGTCCTCCAAACTGTCATGCTCTTCTAGTGAGCAGCTGCCAACAGGGACTATTCGAGGGGTGACAATGGCTAGCACGGATTGAGAGCTTACAACCCATCAAGCCCCGTGCAGAGAGCTTTAGAAGGATGATGTTTTCACCCCCACCCAGCTCTCCGAGCCAGGGACAACTACAGAGAAGCCCGCTTAGTATCAGCGATTAAAAGCAACGTGTC